AGGGGCGGTGCTGACCTGGCCCATGACAGCTCAGCCAAACTCGCCAAATGGCCCTCCGGCCCAAATAATTGCCCACCACTTATCTACAGAATATTGCTGGAGGTTAGTCACAACCTGCTGCCAGTTCTACCTGTAGTGATATGGTGGTATGCCATTATGTTCATGGCACTCAGATATCTCCTTAAATTGCTGGGTTTTTTGAAATTTTGTATTTGTTATAATTTTTAAAATAAAAAGACTCTGTGGTGCATTAGCTTGCATTGCATCCCCTCCCCCTTGCTCGTGGGAAGGGCCTTGTGGGGTACAAAAGGGGACGGTAGGTCCATGGCATGAGAAGGATGCTAGGCACAAGGTTCCTATGCTGGCTTCTGCAACTGCCCTACAATGTCCCTCCTGCTGTCCTTGTCCAGATACCTGATAGGAGCCAAGGACCAGTTCAAAGTAGAGTCTTGCTTCAACACCAATGTGTTCAGGGAACAGGGCAAACACCACGTAGTGAACCCCGAAGAGGGGGATGAGAAGCAGTGTGGATTTTGTGAGTCGCCTAGGAAGAAGCAAAGCAGTAATCAGGGGCTGACTATACACTCAGCACTGTATGTATAGTTACAGGAGGAAAATGCTCCCCCTTCCCCATGCACACTGGGGGACCTGTCCAAGCTGCTAGCAAAGCACAGAAACAAAATACTACCGCTGTCCTTTTGACATGTAGCTGATGTAAGCAGTGCTCCATCTGCTGCAACACAAGCATCACTTCCTGGCCACTTCCCCTGCAGCTGCAAAAGTGGCCAAGGCTCCAGATAGCAACAGCCACCACCCTAGAATGGGATCCAGTTATCCCTTATTACCATTCTCTGTGCACAGCTTCCAAAAGGCACACAGTCCCTAACAGTTGGGCCCAATGGGCCCTGAAAGGGTGTAATCTCTCACTGCCTGGTTCTGCCAGCCATCATGAGTGAAGGCCTGATACTAATGTCTGACCAGGGCTCTGACTCAGCAAGGTACAGAAGCCCCTGCCTGATTTTACACACAGGAGTCATCCGATTGACAACCATTCACTGGGATGTCAACAAATGGGAAATGAATGATCCTAGGGCTGAGGAACCTGCCCCCCAGGGAGAGACAAGCAGAATTCTGTCTGCCTAATTTACCAGGAGAGAAGAAAAAAGTGGCATAGTCATGGTCTATCACTCAGCATGGAGCAAAGTTTTCACTGAGAACTGGGTTCTTTAAAGTAGTGGGAAAAAGCAGACAAAGATCCAGTAGTGAGAAGCGGAAGTTGGACAAGTTCAGACTAGAAGAAGGTCCACATTTTTAACACCAAGGATAAGGGATACTGAAACTTTCCTTGGCCAGGAGATGGATTTTCTGTCACTTGGGGTCTTTGAATCAGGATCAGATGTCTCTTACCAAAGGACAGACGACAGCTCAATGGGCTGGATACAGGGATCACCCAGGTGAGATAAGCTTGGGTGAGGTTCTCTGGCCCCTACCATGCAGGAGGGTGAATGAGGCCATAATGTTCCCTTCTGACCTTAAAATCTATGGATGAAACTCCTCTGGGCCTCTGTACCTTGCTGAACCAGGACTTTGGTGAGTCAGAGACATCAAAGGTGGAAGAGAGGGTGATAGTGACAGAAATAAAGGACCTGGGGGTGTTGCATATTCTTGATAGGTTTGATCCCATTTCTAGAGGGTCTTGTGTTTTCCCTGAAGCAAAGTTTTAAGGAGACAGTGGCAGATGACAGAGAAGGTGAAAATGTTTTATTCCCATTTAAAAAAAAAATTCTACCTATATCTTATTGACACAGCTGCAGCAAAGGCGATTAGAGCGTGACGCTCGCTGTGGACAGAGCCCTTAGGGAGGACTCAAAAGTGCCTTTGCTAGACACAGAATCAATTGGGTTTGATTTAACAACATTACAGCCGGTGATGGCTGGAAAACTGCATATTGAATGTGCGCTGGAGAGAATATTGTTATGATTACAGGTGCCATGTAGGGCTCTCAACCATTATTCATGTGAGGTGTCCTATTTTGCAGGAATATTCCGTTGAACTCAATGGGACACCTCAAATAAACAGAGAAGGCAGGGTCAAGCCCTCTAGAAGAACCGAAGAGCCTTTTCCTTTGTGTGATACCCACTTGAGTGCACGTAACTAAGTATGTGCTGGTGGGTTTGAGGTTGGTAAATAAATTAGGGTCTGTAAGCTCCACAGACCCAACAGTATGAGAGTCCTTTATCTTTTTGTTTATATTTACTTAAAAAAAAATCAAATCCAAAAACATTAGCACAACAATTAAAATTGTTGAACAATTAAAATCATGGAAGTCAGGAAATGCAAGAGTTTCGCACTGGTCAGGCCACAGTTGGAGTACTGCGTCCAGTTCTGGGTGCCGCACTTCAAGAGGGATGTGGACAGCATAGAGAGGGTCCAGAGGAGGGCCACTCGCATGGTCAGGAGGCAGCAAGGCAGGCCCTATGAGGAGAGGCTACGGGACCTGAACCTGTTCA